TTTTCCTCTTCGTCCCTTGTGAGCAAACTGTAACAGTGAGACACACAGTCTAATCCTGTGATTAAGTCTAACCAGTACCTTGATGTTAACTGGCTTCATTCATATCCCAAAGCTTAGATTCTACTTTAGATGTTCAGAAATGGAAAAATTACTGGTTTCCCATGATGACTAACCCTACCTAAGAAGCACTTGATTAAGCAATTCTTTGAGAGTTTTTCTAAACCCTTCAGTTTCTATAGTTCTTTCATTCAAAAGACATGCTGGCCTGGCCCATGCTCACTCTTCATTTTCTTTTGCGGTAAAAATGTTTCAGCAGCCATGTGAAATATGTGAGACTTTTCAGAGTTTTCGGAAGGTCAGTAGGATGACATTGAGTGTTAGCACTGCAGTTTGTAACAATCCCAAAATTAATTCCCAAATCAACCTGGTAGCTATTTCAAACCAATGGAAGGTACGGACTGCTGAATTAATCCATTTTGCTCATTGGCATATGATTCTGTTCCCAGTTTTATTTCACTCTTCCTTATTCTACAGCTCAAAACACATTTCCAAACATGTCTCTGTGCCATCCCAAAATGAACATGAGGCTGTTGATTATTCCTCAATCTTTGACAGCCTAGCCTTTCTTTTGGTCTTACAGCGAATCTGGAAAGGAATTTGGATGATATTTCTTTTCCTTTTAAAGATAGGATATACCAGTTCAGTGGCCATGTATTTTTCTTTCATTACACTCTCTTCTCCCTGCCAGTTTTTTTAAATTTTTTTAATTTTTTTTTTTTTAATAATCACGTTGTGCTTGCCTTGTTTTACACTCTTCAGTGATCATAGCATCGGTGGTCACAAGCATGGCCTTAATTCCTTAAAAGGACTGAGATCCCTGACACAACTGTGAGAGAGAGGGATTGTGAAACTCGCTCCCATCCCACTGAACCTATAGCCCGGAGGAGCTTTTTGGTTCGACTGTTTCCTTTCCAATTCCAGATAATTTTCCTTAATGTACACTGAATTTATCCTGCTTTGCCACTCTGTATTGCTAGTGTTCACAGATTTCCGAGGAGCTGGTCAGGCAGGCTTGTTGTGAGACCCATGTGCCTCAGGAAGCAGCACTTGTGAATCGTCTGTTGGACGTGAACACACCTTTGAACCTCGCTGTGTTGCTAGAAATAATGTATTTTGTGGAGGGCCCATGTTCAGGCTGCAGTGAAAGAAAGATGACCTTGGTGAAGTGAAGGTTCAGATCAAAGTTGACTGTTGAAGTGTTTAGCACCTCTTGAATGACCACTGGGTCTGTCTTTGTGCCTTGATGTTTACAGTCAATCTTTGCTCTCCCTGTCCAGTGAATATAACACTCAAGTGTTGCAAGGAGGGGGGGGCTATGGGTTGTGAAGGCACCTGGTGCTGAGGCGGGAGCCCCGAGGAGCTGGCTGGTGAGGAGCTGCTGCCCATGACCTGGGCACGGCAGGTCTGCAAGGTCTGCGATAAAGCCTTCATCACCAGTGGTAACTGGAGAACTAGCAGACTTTTCCTGACAACCACTCAGTCCAGGATTCAGCAGCAGTTCCAGCTGTTGAGAATTATACTCTCCCTGTAGCTTGGCTTAGATGCGGTGTTTGTCACAACAGATCTAACCTGTTAAACAGATACTGCTTTTTGCTCCAGTGGGGATGCCTTTAGCAACAGATAAAATGATTTTGGTGTACGGTAGATAATGTCCTTCAATTTGTTAAATTTGCCAACTGCTTTGGGAGCTGCCTGTGGGATGGAAGGTGTCATAGAAATGTAAAGTGCTATTATTCATCCTAAATGGCTCTGCTCCATTTTGTAAAAAAAAAAAAAAAAAAAAAAAAAAAAAAGGGTGTACTTATGCTTCTTTCCTGCATTTTGTTGAATGTTTGTTTGATTTGTTTAAGTCTCCACATGGGACTACTACCATTAGTCCTTTAGCCTAGGATGTTGACTACCCTCAGAAAGGACATTTTTCTGACCTTTGCTTAGACAATTATTTACCTTACCTACTTCTTGAGTTACTTGAACAATCTGTTCTCTGTGACTAATTTTAAGGCACTGATTTTCAGTGCTTTTTACTCAAACATATTGTGAGTTTAAGCATGCAAATGCAGTTCATGATGCTCAGTGAATCCAAATACTTTGGTTGTAGTCACTTGATTGATTTACCATATTTTCCCATGTCCCAGGATTAATGACAAAGAGCTGATATAAAAAGAGCTGATGAAGAACTAATCTTGGTGTTAGTGCAGGGAAGAGGGATGTGTGAGACAGCTGTCCAGTAAGCCTCTAGACGGAGGCTTAGTTGCATTTAAACACTGTCGTTCATGGAGCCAACTCAAACCTTCAATCAAAACCCTGTCAGTCTAAACAAGTCTGAAGCTTGAAAAAGTTTGCTTTAGTTGGCATTTAGCTTTCCCTTGTCATTCAGTTCTTAGCTTTAATTAGAGTATCTCACACAAAATAGGGTTCATTTGGAGTCCAGCTCTGTGAGGTATTGTGTGTAGTGGCCTGACCTCGGAGAAGTTTCAGCTCCAACTTGCAGATGTAGGAGTGAAAAACATGAGCAAAGCGAGCAGTTCCTCAGAAAGGACATCTGAACAGTTTGTCAGGGGTCTCATTGATTCAGAGAGCCACATTTGCACATTTCTGTAAGTAAAGAAAAAAAAGGGAACCTACTAGTAGATGTTAGAGGCCTGAACATTTCTCATGTGACCTCTGTTGCCTTAAAAAATATTTAAAACACATTAGTGACACAATACGCTACCAGCCAATAAATTAAGTTCAGAAACTGCAAGGACAGTATATAGTACTTCTGAAATTGTGTATAAATTTTCTTCTGAAAGCTAATGTTTATGGAAAAAGTTGTAAGGTAAGCAAAAACTTTATGCCTCATAGTACAGCTAGACCATCAACGTAATATCTTTGAGGGCAACAAAAGTAATCTAATGGACCACATAATTTAAGTAATAGAGAGATGCAATGAACAAAGAAAAAAAGTAATTATGTGACTGTTACAGTGTCTAAAGTATGTGTCGTTTGGTGGATTTCAGCTTGGAGCACATAAAGCAATGGAAAAAACGTCAGTTGCTTCCAAACCTATCTGTAATTGGTAGATCACAGAGATCGAGTCAACAGGTGGACATGAAAAATAAATCATCAAGGTGCCAAGGTACAACTGAGTGTAAGAGAGAGCAGCTAATATTGATCTTTTGTTTTACTGAGCATCTTGAGAGTAGGGAAGTAAAACCTTGCAAGTCAAATAATTGAATGGAGATAGGGTAGTTCAGTAGGAATGAAAACCAAGGATGAAATAATAACGAGCAATATATAATACCAATGTCTAAACATTTATGTATGAAGATGATACCATAATTATGGCTTTTATAATACAGTGCATAACAGTATATTGTGTTTTCACATTTGGAATATTAAATGTAGAAGAAAACTTTATTTTGAAATCTAGACCTCCAATTTAGGAAGTTCTGCTGTATTCTCCAGTATTTACTTATTATCTGTGTGGTATATGCTCACTATACTTTTTAATTTTATGTCTGTAGCTGAATTTCTATTGTCTTTAAAATCATCAGTTAAAAGAGCTAATCTGTGGGCAGATACAGTTTTAAGGTTCTCCTGCCAAGCTGTGACTGCTGTCATGCCCTAGATGGAGGGGGCATGTAAACTTCTTGAATATTTTTAAATTGCTATTTCTACTCCTCTCTCTCCTACTTCAAGCCTTTTTTCTCCAGACAAAGCTCAGTCTCACAATTCCTCTCCATTCATGTCTTTGAAAAGGGGAACGCTGAAACCAATTACACTGAAAATACTGTCAACGCATTGAAGAAAATAATGATAGGTATAGAAATGTAACTATTTTTGTGATGTCTTTGTGGCCAGCGTGTAATAGAAAGAGGTTCTCGAAGAGCATGCCTGCCATCAGATCCCTGCTCTCTTCATCACGTTTCAGTGCTTCTGAAGAGCTCAGCTTTACAAACATGACACCAGCAAGATGCCGTGAGGCAAGAAATTCCTGTGCCTGTTTGGTGCCATTCACTTTCTTTTTCTGTGGTTATTCAAGTGTCTCCCGGACAGGCAATGCTTGAATGTCAAGGCATACTCTGCAGATGAAATTTTGGTAACTCCAGGGTGAGTTGCTGGGAAGCAACTACATCTTATACCCAGTCCCTGTTCCTTGACAGCCTGGCAAGAAACCCAGACGTGGGTTTAGGCTCACATCTGCAGCAGGACAGAGCCACCCTAACCTAGCCGTGGGTGTTTGTAGGCCATGAAGATGGAGCACAGGGCACACAAGGAGAAAGGCAGAGCCGGGTTTGACCAGCCAGGAGAAGAGGCGGGAGGTGAGGGTGCAGGGGGGGCAGTGGGGGGGTGCCCAGCTGCTGTTTTCAGCCACCTAAAGGGGGGTTACAGGGACGGCAGAGCCAGGCTCTTCGCAGAAACAGCATAAGAGGCCAAGGGTGTGAGTCGCTGCGAGGGAAATCCCAGACACCACCCTCCATCCCTGGCTGCCCACGCTGACAGCCCAGGACTGCGGGGAGCAGGTAGGGAGCAGGCTGATCCCCGGGCACTGACTGCCCGAGGATGCCCAGACTTGGGGCTGGTACCCTTGGGGGCTTGGGATGCTCCTGGGCTGGACTGGGCAGAGGTAGCCTGCTGGGATGCCATAGAAACAAGCTCTTCTGAGTGTCTGTCCTTTTTTTTTTTTTTTAAAAAAAAAAAAAACCAAAACCAAAAACAATTTTTAAGAAGTGTGGGGTATTTGGTTTTGTGGTTTATTTTTATTTTTAAGTCATCTTTTTGCACTTAACAGTCGTGGTGGAGCCAGTCAGGCTGAATAACGGGATCGGTGGTTTGCTGGGGGCTAGAGCTGAGGTTCGATATGCTCCCGGAGCTGTCAGGCTGGGAGCGGAGGAGGGCTTGCTCGTGAGTGGCTTTTTAAACCCTGGGATTTCAAATGCTCCTTGGCATGAGTTGCAGCTCGGCAGTCCTGCACAGAGCAGATGTGCGGAGGGAAGGGAGATGCTTTCGGCTGAACCCAAAAAGTATGTGCCAGGAGGAAGGCTTCAGAAAGTGGGAGCTGGGCAGGGAGAAGGGAAGGGGGCGTTTCTCTTCTGATTTATTTTCTAATGAATGGTTAAAATGAATTGCTTCTCCTTTAAGAGGAAAAAAAAAAAAAAAAGAATCACATTGAAGTTGTTTTGATGTAATGATTTTTGATTTATTTTTTTGTGCAGCTGACCTAGTCCTCCCCAAAAGGAAATGTATTTTCTCTGTGCTGTTTTGTTTAGATTTTTAGCATGGATTTGGAATTTTGGCTGGTGGGAAAACTGGCTATACAGGGGTGGATGTAACAGGTCATTGCTTTATGATGGTACTCATCGCATCATCAAGCTGATTAAACCTTATTGTGATCTGGTCATTAATAGCAGGAAGGATTCAATGTAAAAGGAAATATAAATGAAGCCCTAAATCAGGTTTCAGAGTCATCCTTTTGTGGAACTGATTAATGTAATGTAAAGTGACCTAAATGAAGTGCTATAAGAAGGTCTGTCATGTGTTTATATGTTTAGCTAGGATTATTTGAAAACATTTGTAAAGAAAAGAGGATTTTCTTGTGCACTGCAAATTAGTTATGAGGATTTGGGGCAGAAGACTGAGGTAGGTCAGCAAACTGAATATGAAGAATTTGTGTACCCCTGTCCTCGTACACCCTTGTTCCTGTATACACCTGACCTTATACCATTATAATATTTTATATTGATTTTAGGATAGAATATTTCCTCCTAAATCTTTGATAACTTGCCTGGACTTAATTTCATTAGCCAGCCCAGCCCTGGCACTCAAAGAAGTCTACCAAGAATATTTGTTTGTTTTTCTAGTCTTGAGCATGGAAGAGAAAGGGTTATGGGAATGGTATGGGAGAAACTCCAGCTTGGGAGGGAAGCTGTGGCTGCCATCTCATTACAACAGGTTCTTGTCCTGGAATAAATCAGAAAGAAAAAGTTTGGTCAAGCTTTTTATAGAGTCCCATTAAGTTAAGTAATAAATAAGTGGCAAGTGAACAGGAGTTTGAGCATGTAACTCATAACTCCAAGTTATTTAAAAGCACTGAGTGCCTTCTGTCACTGCTGGGGGTCTTCATTTTTAATTGATTTTGTCTTTTTAATCAGATCTTTATCGTGGTGGCTGTGTGGGTTATTTTTACTGTTAAACTTTCTCTAAAGTTTCCTAGGAAGTCCAAGTTTTGTTCCTTGTCTTATACTCACCAAATGTTGAAGCAGTTCACATTCTATATTACTTTCTCTTGCCATGAACTTAGCTGTACAAAAACATGCGTATGTGCAAATATACCTCAGTAAGTTGATCGATGGATTTAAAGTTGAAATTTTTTATTGACATTGTTTGACTGCCTTCAGAGGTTGCAAATTATCCCCTCTGGGATGTCTTGTACTTCCAGTGTGCTGGGGTGCCAGCCTGCAGACTGTGACTGCTGTAGATGATCTGCTTAATCCAGCAGTCCTTGGCCAAGCAGAGTTTGAGGCAGATTTCATTGCACGTGCTACACTGGGCCCAGAATAGAAATGTGTGCTCACCTATCATTGCAGGTAATTAAATGAGGCTGATAACATTCCTGAACCACCAGAGCATGACAAAGCGATGTTATTAGATGAGATGATTCAGCCTTTGGTATCATTGCACCCAAGAGTTTCTCAAAGTTATGCAGACATGACAAGAAGTATGGAACTGCAAGACGCTGGAGCTGCAATACAAGCCAAGCTCTCTGATCCCTGAAATGAAGGAAATCTTAGTATACTGGTGCAAGTGAATTGAAGGAGTAACTCATAATGCATCTGAGAGGCAACCGTCAGGCTTACTTGCACAAACTGCTTGCACTCTACTAAAGCATTCGAGAATATGGCCACTAGACACCATTTATAAGTTCTGTGATGTTTCCCCGTCATCCTGGGAAACACTGAAATAAAAAGATGTTGCTCAAACTTCATGTGCATCTTTGGTAGATACTGTGACTTGAGAGCATGCTTAGCAAGTAGATAACTAACGAGTCAGAAATGCCTGATACAGGATGGTAGCCAGCAGTCCAGCATGTGATGTGGCACAAGCAGAATGCATGCCATGGTTCGGGTATGCGGACTGTGCAGCTGGATCACTGTGTGCACCTCTGGGGCAGCCTGTTGAAGAGAAGCCTGAGCCTGGAGTCACCGGCTCCCCTGCTGAGAGCAGACACAAGGAATGGTATCATCTGCTTCCTTTGAGGTCATTTGCCAAGTTGAAACGTGCCCTAGTAGAAAGCCCAAGAAATAGGCAGATGGACTTTTCTGATGTTTGCCATGCAAACAGACAGAGCACTGTGAGAGGCTGCTGAGTTTAATAGAGAGTGCAGACCAGAAGGCTTGGCATTGCAGTAGACCACTGCACATAAGATGAGCATTAGCAGTGACAGCAAGAGCACCAGAGAGCCCCTGGATTAGCACTGGTGCTTTGGAAAACTCGAGTGGTGCTGCTGCAGGTAAGTGCCAGTCAGTTGCTCCTAAAGCAGCTGATGAGGGAAGGCAGGTTGTCTCAAATACCAGAGGGCTGCAGGATCTGCGGTATTTGCAGTCCTTCCTCAACAGTGCATGAGGGAGCAGTCTGATGGTGTCCTGGATGAGGCTTCAGGACCCTGAGGTAATCCATTTGCAATAGAATTATTTTGTATTCAGCCATAATGACAGTACCAGTGCTGTGAAACTGCTTTTCAACTCTGTTGTTAGCTCAGTGTTTACAGTTGGAACAGAACAAAACTAACAGCAATAATCTACTGTGAAAGTTCAATACAAGTTTTCAATCAACAGTAACTGTTTGTTTTCAAGTGGCTCTCTACTTGCAAAGAAATCTTAAATTAGTATCTCTCTTACACTCATGGCAGTTGTGAGCAGATTGTCCCTTCACCCATTTTTCTGTGGAGAGATGCTCTTTAGTGTAATGCTTTTCTGGAGTTGGGTTGACAGTGAAAGGCCCAGTGTGGGTTTAAATTTAGTATGAACATAACTTAAGACACACACAGTATTTTGTTTTGTTAGACTTATTTTTGTTTGTTTTTTTGAGATTCTCCAGTGCATATTACTTTGCTGGCTTGCTTATGTGCTTTTTAAAAATAAATGTTCAGAAAAGGCTAGTTTTTGTCTGAGAGGAGAGATAGGGTTCTGCAGAGAAATCTTGTGGGAGCTCCCTGAGGCTTTCTGACTTAGCACAGTAGAAACAGGTTTGAACCTAACCAGCTTGTGGGCTTCTCGTTTTGTAAATTGGCATTTTTTTCCTTAACTCAGAAAAGGAAGCTGCCTTTTGTTGAGATTTTCTTTTCTGGTAGTTCATCACAGTTTCAAGATGATGCAATAGCAATGTAAGAATTGCTTCAAATGCATCCCATATCTGGAGACTATTGTGAGGGTGAGAGGAAGATGTTTCCTAATATACATGTGCTAAAACTTTTCTCACATTTTGCTGAGTCGACCACATTAAGAGACCCTTATTTTCAGCATGTTACACACAGCAGAGGAGAGGGAAAGGATGAAGCTGCTTTACTGTGTATCAAAGTTGCCTTGATGCTTCTCCAGATCAAAGTAAAGGCACTTGCTTTTGTGTGAGATACTGTTTCTTTCTCCAAGATGAGCACTGCCATGAGATAATTAAGTTTTCTGAGATACAGAAGTTACCTTTAATATACACACCTATTCCCACCAAAGGTATCAACGTGTGCTCCCTTATTTTACTGTTTTATAAATCTGGGAGTCTTGTGATTGCTGTAATTTCTCTCTGCGCCTGTTGCCGTTTCTTATTAGTTTGCCAGTGTTGCTTCGGTCTTCCTCTGAAATAAGTCTTCAGTACTGCAGCAGCTTGCTAATCATAGATGGAGTTGCCAGTTTCTATTGTTGATTGGAAGTTGGTCTGTTTGTTCCTTTAGCAATGCTAGATCCACAAGGAATTTGTAAGTGCTTCACTCTCCAGGCGACTAGAAAAGCAATTATCTTCCTCCTGGATGAGAGTTTGTTTTTCTCGTTTTGGAGAGTTAGGGAAGGTTGCACTACTGCCAAATACTTTCACTTGTCAGTAAAGTTTGCCTTTCACTGCAGAGATAGGTCATCTTGAATACATCTCACCTGATAATTTCATTCTCTTCCCAGTCACCTCCATTACCTGTGGTGGCTAGGTGGTTTATTGTAAACAGAGTATTTACAATATCTAATAGGAATCTGTCAGACTAAAATGCATAGGTTATTAGCCTAAACAGTGTATCAGTGATCCAGCTGATTTCTCTAAAATTAATCATAAAATATTCCACAGCCAGATTTTCATGATATTTAGGCATCTAACAGAGCAGATAAACACCAAGGAGTACTTTTAACAACACAGAAGAGTAGGTGTATTGCCACCAGTGCAATCATTAAGTGTGAAGTGCCTAAAAACCTCAGGAATTCTGTCTTTTCATGTGGGACCTAAAGCCACAGTCAGAGAAACTGTTACAAATGAAGTGGAGCACTTACTGCAGCCTTCCTATTTAATATGATTCATGTACAGATTACTATTCAAGTTAGTCTGCAGCATCTGGGTGCAAAACATGCATATAGCTTCACTTGTCTTTTGTTGTCTGTCCCCAGTTCCTTGTGAAAGTAAAAGAAAGTAGGTAGGAAGATTTTCAGTTTGCTGAGACAGCATACCTGTCTTCAAGTAACTGAAATATTTCATTTTACTTGTGGCTTAAATCCATTTTTTCTCAACTGTAAGTTTTGGAGGGTTTTATTCTTGGCATCATGGAATATTTTAGGTTGGAAAGATGATCATGAAGTCCCAACCCCTGCTCCAGGCAGGGCTAACTTCAACAATTTGAAATTCTCTGTGGATGAAGATTCAGCAGCCCCTCTGGGCCCCTGTTTCTGTTCTTCACCAATCTCATTGAAACATTTGCCTGCTGCAACCTGAGTCTGTTGCCTCTTGTCCGTTCACTGGGCACCTCCGGGAAGAGTCTGGCTCTGCCTTCTGCGTA